CAGCCAGGCTAAGAACCAAAGGGTACCAGGTTCAGGAAAGGCCCTTTGGACTGTTGTTGTTCAGCTATAAGCAAAGAACATTCAGAGTTAAGCAACAAATTTAGCTCTCTATTTCCTGGTCTCCAGTGCAAATAAACTTGCAAGGTAACAAACTTTGCATTACCAAACCTCAGATCACAACAAATTCACTGCTGTAACAAAACTAGTCCAGAGCTTAAATGCAAGAAACTGTTTTTCACGTGGATCCTGATGAAGAGGGCACCGGGTAGCATAAAGCCCACAGCAGCACTGTTCTAATAGCAATTTCTTATAACATCCTCCTAAGAAAGCAGACGGCACAACATCAAATCTTAATTACGCAAAGGCATTCCTATGTGAAACTAAGGTAATAAAATATAAATAAGTGGCTTTCCGATTACCTAACTTGATGCACAGGTCCAGTCCTAATGCATGTAATGGACCCTTTACATGTGGAACTCAAAAAAGTGAGAAAAGCTAGTAGGATTTTTGTTTCACTTCCATTTTTGAAAAAAATCTTTTTATGGAAGCTTTTATCCCCTGAAATCCCTCCTTTTGGACTGTGAGCTTTTGATATCCCAATGCTCTCAGGCTTTTTCCTTCTTTCACTCTGCCCCAGGTAATGCAGATTTTTTTCCTTTCCCTTCAACTCGCCTCTCCTCTGGTCTCAGGCTCTCTTACACCATGAGCCTGCGGGCAGGGACACCATATCTAGCTATCTCAATTCTGCCAGTGCAGCTAAACACAGCACCATCTGTGCCTAAGAGGGAGCCACCGGCAGGCTCAGGTATTGCTCAGTTTTGCAGAAGCACAAAAATCTTTCAGGGCAGAAAGCACTAAAGGAGAGGGGATCTGCCACCCGATCCAAAAATAGGCTGAGCACGCTCTGCGGGCATACTTTGCTGGTTGGGAATGGAATGCAGTATCCTGAATAGCATACTGCATGTAATACTATCTTGCAAGTTTCACTTGTGTTCTTTTCGTTTTAGTAAAAGTTACAAGCATATTGGGTGCTTTTATGATTGCTAAGGGGAAATAGCAGCTCCCTGGAAGCCCAAGAGTGTAGTGCAGATGCAACGGCACCCTCTTGTTTCCGTTCTCTAGGTGCACAGCACACAGCACCAGACTCCCACCAGTACTGGAAGTAATAGACAATCATCATGATTAAGAGCCGCTGAACACCGTATCATCCATGAATCTGTCTAATCCCCTTTCAGGACATTCAGATTCTAATTGCAATAACTAATTCTACTGTGTAACTATGGAACTTGAACCTGAGTCTACATCATTATCCTTTGTCTACCATCTTCAAAGCCTTTTTAAAAAATTTCTCAGACTTTTAAAATCTTTCACAGCACAATCCCATCATGATGTCCATACACCCCAAACTCAGAGGCTTGGGGCCTCCTACACAGAGCTGGGAAAGTCCAATTCCCCTCACCCTGCTTTTTCTGCTTGATGGAACTTTTTTCCTGCATATTCTGGCTAGGAAATCTCAGGAAGAGGGGGAAGCAGACTGAACTGCTGAGAACATAAGAACGTAAGCAAAGCCCTGCTGGATCAGGCCAAAGGTCCATCTGGTCCAGCGCTCTGTACCCATGGTGTCAACCAGCTGCCCACAGGATCCCGCAGGCAGGATGAGTGTAAGACCTCCTCCAGTCCAAGCTCCTCAGCAGCTGTGTATGCAGGCACGCCACCTCTGGCAAAGGAGGTAGCACATAGCTCCTGATAGCCTTTTCTCCCATGACCCTGTCCAAGCCCTTTTCAAGCCATCTAGATTGGCCACTTCCCTTCTGCAGGTGATCATGTGTCTTGGCCTCTTCAGTCTCCACCCCATTCCTCAAAATGCCCCCCTTTCCCCCACTCCAAGGGTGCTTTCCTGACCTCAAAGAGTAGACTGGGTGGTTCTTTCTGCACAAGCTGCGAAGCACTAGGTGAACGGGGTCCAGAATTCTGATACCCAGTTTCAGGATTGGAATGCTGCCTCCCACCTTTGATCTGAGAATATGACCCCTTAGATGTAATCTAGGGGCTATAGGATAGTTCCCTCCATTATTTAAATGCTCTTTAAATTACTTTTAGTTGAACTGAATGGCATTTACTTATATTCTATAATCATAAATTACTCTGGGAACTTCAACACCAAAGATGTAGTATCGCTCAGCCATGGAGCCAACTGGGTGACTTTGGGCCAGTCACAGACTCTCAGCCCAACCCACCTCACAGGGTTGTTGTTGTGGGGATAAGATGGAGGAGGAGATGTAAGCTGCCTTGAGCCCTTTGTAGGAAAAAGGCAGGATATAAATTGAAAAATAAATAAATAAATACTAAAAATACATCAATAACAAATAACATTTAGTGTTTATAGGTAAATATTGCCAATTTGCCACCATTGACACCATTGTGTGCTAGGGTAACAGAAAAATATAAGCCCTATTAATACTTTTGTTTTTAAAATTGCTACTTTAAATCCTTCAGTGATGCATGGATTCGACTCATATTTGTACCTTTGTATGAAAATGTAAGCTTAATTTGCAGACTTTTAAACAGAAAAAATGCATTAAGCCCTGTTACGATCACACTGGTAAAATAGCTGATTATTCATGTCATATCCCTGTAGAATTCTTTGTATCCCTTTATTTCTTCTGTACACTTGAAGAAATGAGGGTACCAAGGACTATCTTCTACAGTGAGATGATAGGCTTTGTATTTCTGTGTGCATGCACACGTGCACACACGTACACATACACACACGCGAACATCCCTGTAGATTAAAAAAAAGAAGCAACTGAAGCAGAGGTGTATTTATACTGAGTCCAGATACTAGGATTTTTTTTTTTTAAATCCCCAAGCTCCCATAAAAACCACAAACCCATGTAAACACGATTCATGATTCCCAGGCCTGGAGCTCCACATGGAAATCATTCTCTCCGAAGCAAAAACCTACACATGGTTTTGCAATGGGGTTTATGAGGGAGTGAAAACTGACTTTAAATTCAGAGCAACGTGTCACATAACATCAAGTGTCTCTTAGGCTTCATGATGAATCCCAAAAATACCTGAAAAAGAGAATGGTAGGATTTCTTCCACTTGAATTTCCCAAGACACTGAAATCATCAGAAAGTGTTTCTAACATGACGGGAGCCTGCCTCGCAGTCTCGCATGGTGGAGAGAGCGTACTGAAAAACTGAAGGAAAATTACCTAACCTACTTACTAGAAGCATCCTCTGAGAGATCTAGTTTCATTCCTTGGAAGTTAACTTTACGGAATTATCTGCTGTACAGAAAGGAATCAAATCTATAAAAAGGTGTATTATATGAAATATTAACTTACCTCCGCAATTTCTGCACCAACTGGCACATTTCTAACAACTATAATAGTGAAAACTGAGAATCATGCTTGGCCAACCTTATCACTTGCCTTTGCAATGACCTCACTTTTTGTTCTGTTTAACAGACTGGTTGTTTTTATGAGATAGGCCTCAATGTTTTATGCAATTACAATCTTAATACACTTATTCCTTGAGGAGGAGGAGGACAAGAAGGAGGAGGAGGATGAAGAGGGTTAAAAAGTAAGGAGGCCCAGAAAACAAAGCATGGTGTCCTTAGGTATCCAGCCGGAAGCTTTTGAACAAAATGTTATGTTTAGCATCTGGAAAGCCAACACTCCTGAAACAGTAAGCTGCTTTACATTGAATCAGCCCTACCAGTATTGTTGATACTAATTTGCATAGTTTTCCAGGGTTTGAGGCAGGAATCTTTTCCACCCCTAACAAATGATATCAAGATTGAACTTAGCCCCTTCTGCATGGAAAGCAGGTGATTTACCACTGAGCCACAGAAATTTTACCCTCTGGTACAACTGATACACATAGACTGCCTGTGGTGCATCCAGACGCATGTTCCACCCAGAGAAACGCCTTCCCATCAAATTAAGAGCCCAGCACATGTGTCACTTGTAACTGGATCCATGAAACATACCCTGTTAGCACCTAGCCCTGGCCATGGCATCCTGTTGCACCAACTAATCTGCATAGTAATGGTTGGCTGTGGAGAGAACCGGAAATTTGCAAAGCGAACTGGCCATGATATTTCTCCCAGCTCCAGCCTGGGAAACCCGCATGCCATCCATACTCACCCACATTCTCTGACTGAACATATCTTTCTTCACACCATACTTGGCTCAAGTTTTGGTTAATGAAATATAGATACCTTCCTTCCTGTTTTTTTTGAAACCAAGACAAAGGCAGGGTTCTTCCTCATGGCAAATAGAGTATGCACTTGGGAACAGATAAATGAATTCAGCTGGTGATGGTGCTTCTTTCCCCCCTTCAATCACGCTGCATCCATTCATTCTTCACATTGTCTGGTGGGCCATAAGAGCCTTTTGATGCCCTCAAGCTCAGACCATGCTCTCCTCTAGCAGCTGGTGTGGAAGGGACTATGCCAGCCAACTGCCTCTCCGATGGGCAAAGGAGGAGACTAGAGAGAGCAGGACACAATGTCTTGTGTGTCCTCTTCCCCTCCCTATCCAAAGTGCCTCTGTTAGATGGCCAAAAATAGGCTTCTAGCAAAAAAGCAGAGTGGCAGGTGCAGGAGAGTATAGATCTGAGCTTGCAGGTGTCTAAGCCTGGGGGCTTAGGAGCACTGCAGGTGCAACCCATAGGAATCCACCTTTACTACTGTGTACTTTATTGCTGAGATGGGAGGTGGACAAAGATGTGTCTATAACAAGTTTTAGCAATCACATTAAAACTAGAGCCAAAAGGAAACTTTTTGATTTGCTTGCGTTACTACAAATGGCAGCCCAGAACAGGGCTTTTATATGAATGCAGATGATCTCATACACCTCTTCTCATTAATCAGCATATCACAGAGCAACATTATTTCATGAAAGGAAGGTAAACTTTGTAAAATGCGAATGTATGCTGAAAATCAGACAATTAGAGAGATTTCATATGTACAATTTTATATCTCACCAGGTAACTTCCTAAAGTTCCATTATGGAGAAAAACAACACAAGGTTTCCACTTTCCTCAGAATTACCTAGCAAGAAGGAGACGGTGTGCATTTTTGGCACAGGTGATTTTGGAAGATCTCTAGGATACAGAATGATGCAGTGCGGCTATTCTGTTGTATTTGGAAGCCGAAGTGGCCAGGCCTCTGGACTGATCCCTCAAGGAGCCTCGGTGCTAACTCATGCAGAGGCTGCAGAAACATCTGACATCGTCATTATAGCTGTCCACAGAGTGCATTACATCTTTCTTGAGAGCTTAAGGGACATTCTTCGTGGGAAAGTGCTGGTGGATGTGAGCAACAACCTCAAGATAAACGAGTACCCAGAATCAAATGCTGAATATCTTGCCCGGATGTTGCCCGGCAGTAAAGTGGTGAAGGCATTTAACACAGTGTCAGCATGGGCTCTGCAGGCTGGTGGCTTGGATGCAAGCAGACAGGTAAGGCCATCTTGGGGGCAATAGGTGCCCATGTTTAAAGATGAACAAGGAAGCCAGGACAAAAGTATTATTCCATTTCCCACATTTGATTATTCATTAAAACATGTTTAAGCCACCCTTCATCATTTCAGAAACCAGGATGGTGTACAAACATCATTAAAATACATAAAACAATAAAATGATAAAAGTATATAATCTCAACAAAAAGAGAGGCAGCAGCAAATGCAATAGAACAGGTTCAATTAAGCAATAAAAATGCCTGATCAAGGTTTTGACCATGTGTCAAAAAATAGCAAAGTTTATGCCAGTTGCATCTCCTGAGAGTTTTCAGTTGGTGAGTGCTAAAATATTTTCCTGCCCTTGATGTTTTCTGTTACAATCTCTCTTTGATATAACTTTTTCTACATTCTATTCACTATAGGTTACAGGTTTAACCATTTAAAGGCTGAACACCCAGAAGTTAGTTTTATCGTGTGTTCCAAACAGCTGATAAGAAAGGGAAAGATTTTCATCAACTGAGAAAAATACAACCCTAGTTCTCTGCTTGAATTTTGATACAAATGTTGAGGGGCCCTCAGTAGGATTTAGAACTTCTTGCCCCAACTCTCCCTAATTTTAGCCAAAATTGCAGCCATCCTTTACCATGGTAAAAACATTAGCAAGAGGTAAAAGGCTGGACTCATTGTGGCAATTACCCATGTGGTGTGGTGGTTAGAGTTTTGGACTGGGAACCTGGAACTTCCAGGTTCTAGTCACCATTCAACTGTAACACTTACTGGGCAACTCTCAGCCTAATCTATCTGATAGAGTTGTTGTTAGGATAAAATGGAGCTATGGAAGTCATCTTGGATTCCTCAGAAAAGAAAAACAATATAAATGCAATGCAATAATAATTTCATTTCATTGATGCAGGTGTTTATCTGTGGAGATGACAGCAAGTCAAAAGAAAAGGTGATGGATATTGTCCGAAGTCTGGGCCTTACTCCATTGGATAAGGGATCTCTCTTGGCAGCAAAAGAAATTGAAAATTACCCTTTGCAGCTTTTTCCAATGTGGAGATACCCTATTTATCTCTCTCTTGTTCTCAGTGCATTCATCTTTTTCTATAGTATAATCCGTGATGTGGTCTACAATTATGTTGAGAAAGGCAGAGATGTTTCCTATTTTATTCTTGTTTCCATCCCAAACCGGGTCTGCCCAATTGTGGCACTCATCCTTCTTGGTTTGGTTTATTTGCCTGGGATCTTTGCCGCTCTTCTCCAGTTATACAGAGGTACAAAATACAGTCGTTTCCCAAATTGGTTAGACAAGTGGATGCTGTGCAGAAAACAACTTGGCTTGGTAGCCTTAGCTTATGCTTTCCTACATGTTTTGTACACACTCATCATCCCTATCCGGTACTACGTAAGATGGAGGTGGAACTCTTTTCTCCTTTCCCAGGTAAGCTGATGTACATTTTATTCTGCCATTCTATCAACAGGCTTTACAGTTATGCAACTTAGAGACATAGACTGAAAGGAGGCCTCTGAAATCATCAGAAACACTGGCAGGCATCAGATTCATGGGACAGTGCCCAGTATTGACCCAGTGAAATAAGTGGGGCTTAAGTTAGTTATGACTAATGTCTCTCATGCACTTCAATGGCTCTCCTTTATATTGGATTAATATTGGTAGCTACCCTGTACTTGTTACACTTCTCCCCATGCAGGTCATATTCTCCTTGCTGTCCAGAGAGACATCATAAGAAGAAAGGATTATGGAGAACCCAGACAGTGAGGGAGGTCTGGGACAAGATCCTAAACCTATAGGCTCCCTGGCACATTTCTGATGAAACCATCGGGGTGTGCAGGGTGCCAAGGACCCTTTCCAGTATTCATGGACTTATTTCAGGGTCTGCAACTATCAAACTAGGGTTGTGGGGATGGGAAGTAGACTGCCATGAATTCAGTGAATGGATTCAGACTTAGCTGCAAGGCACCCCATCACTTATGTCACATAACAGCAGTGGACTGATCCTCTCTCAGCCAGTCCTCATGCCTATTGTTTTGTTCAACATGTCAGGGTGGCCATCCACTTTTAAAGAGGACAATCCTCTGCTTGTGGTGTTTTCAGGGGGCTGTCTTCTATCCTGAAAGTTTGACCAGTCCAAGTCCAAGTCCAGGTCTGTTCTGTTCTGTTCTGTTTTTTTGAAAGCAGCATGAAGTAGCAAGAACATTGAAGTTACCCTGTACCATTTAGTACTGGCCAGCAGATTGGACAGGTCACCTGATCACAGTGATCCCCGCTATGCTCAACATGATGCCTAGTAGTGCCTTGCAGAAGTAGTCACTCCCCACTTTTACTTTTCCATGTTTTATTGTGTTACAACCTGCAATTCAAATGGATTTCATTTGCACTTACCCCTTGATGTACATCAGATACCCAGCACTGTGAAGGTTCAAAATGTTTTATTGTGGCAAAAAATGGCACTTCTTCATTGCATAAACTCAGATACATCCACTGCCTCCAGAAGCCACATAATGGAGTTCACCAGTGTACATATCCCATGCCACATAATCTCAGATTAAATGCAGATCTTTCTGGAAAGCCCCAGAGTTTGTTGGAGAGGATATCTAAACAAACAGCATTATGAAGACCAAGGAGCTACCAAAACAACTCCATGAAAGAGTTGTCAGAAGTACCAATCAGGGTTGGGATATATAAAATAATCCCAAGCAATGGGCGTCTCCCAGAGCACTGTTAAATCCATTCTTAGAAAATGAAAAGAACTCTACCTAGAGAAGACTGTCTACCAGGAAGACTGTGACCAGGTAAGTTAGAGAAGCCACTAAGAGGCCAGTGGTGACTCTGAAGGAAATGGAAAGATATGTGACTGAGATGGGAGAAACAGTCCATGGAACAATGATCACAAAGAAGCTCCACAAAGGTGGATATTAAGGAAGAGTGGTGAGAAGAAAGCCATCACTGAAACATCCCCATATCCAAGCCTATTTGGAGTTTGCAAAAATGCACGGAGGAGATACAGCAAACATGTGGGAAGAGGTTCTCTAGTCTGTTGAGACCAAAATTGAACTTCTTTGGCTGTGCTGTAAAATGCTGTGTGTGGAATACAACCAACAGTGCTCATTGCCCTGGGAACACCATCTCCATGGATTGGAAGCATCATGTTGTAGGATGCTTTTCCTCAGCAACAGCTGGGAAACTGGTTAGGATTGAGGACAAGATGGGTGGAAACAAATACAGGGCAATTCTAGAGGAAAACCTGCTGCAATTCACATTCAAGATGTGAGACTGGGATGGACGCTCACCTTCTAGTGGGACAATAACCCTAAACACACATCCAAAGTAACACTGGAGTGGTTTAAAAACAAGACCCTGAAACTCTTAGTAACCTTACCTTACACTGACTAAGAAGCTGTAGCAAGACCTGAAAGCTGTTGTGCGCTCATAGTCATCACCCAACCTGTTGCAGCTGGAACGGCTTTGCCAAGAAGAATGAGCAAACGTTGCAGGATCCAGATGTGCAAAGTTGGCAGAAACTTATCCATGAAGACATGTGAATGTAATTGCTGTCAAACGAGCTTCTACAGAGAGCTGAATACTTATGCCACCAACAAATGCCAGTTGGCTTATGTAAATTTTGGACATGCATGGTGTGGAGTATCTTGTGTAGATCAAGTGGTAATGCCAATTAAATCCAATCTAGTGCCAGTTTGTTACACAACAAAATATAGAGAAGTCAAAGGGGGGACGTTTTTGCAAATTTGCACATATGCTTGACATTATGTTTTTGCAAATTTGCACATTAGCTTGACATTATGCAAATTGTTGATGCTTGAGCGGCCACCCTTATGGCGTCAGACCTGCCACAAGGGGCATTTTCGCAAGGGCTGCACTGATGGAGAAGCGTTGTCACCTCAGGCCATCAGGCTCCCTGGGGCTCTGTCACCAACCAGAAATAACCTTTCCTTCTAGTACACTCCCCTTAGCTGGCTGAACCAAGTGCTGGCAAATGCAGAAGCAAAAGGACCCTGTGTTTTTCCACCACCAATCGTTTAGTATATTTATCCTGAAATCTGAGCCATGCTATTTTTCAACCCTGATGTGACAAATGTGACATGCATTTACAAAACCCAAGTTCAACAGGGGCTGAATCCAGAATCTCTTCCATAAGAGGAAAGCAACCAACAGAAGTAGAAAGTTTCTACTCAAGGAAGGTGTCCCAGCTAACTGGGGGAGGGACAATCCCTTAATCTCCCCCAACTGCAGCACATTTGATTCAGCAGTAGCACCTGACTTTGTGTCACATTTTTAGGGGGGGTGGAGCAGCTACTGTGGGAAAGGGGCGAAGGAAGTCCCCTCCCACCAGCACCATTGATCCAGTTTAAATTTGGATTCAAACCCCTATAAATGAAATGTTTTAATATATTTATAGCTATCACCTATTAATTTATTTTACTTGTTTTCTTTTACTAAGGTATTTAACAACAAAACTGATCCATTTCTGACTGGTACCAGCTGGCATAGTGATGCTTATCTTTCTTTGGGTATCTTGGGGTTCTTCTTCTTTGTTGTCCTAGGAATAACCTCCTTGCCCTCTGTCAGTAACAGCGTCAACTGGAGAGAGTTTCGTTTTGTACAGGTAAGAGCACATTAGCTGGCAAAATAGCTTTTCATCTTCCTCACTTGCAGTGTTACTCAGAAGAGCCACTAAGTGCTCTTGGACTTATTCTCAAGTATTATAGCTTTGAACACTGCAAGTCCGGGACATTTCCTTCTGCATTTATTTCACTAACCATTAAAACTGTATTGCTGGGAATGGAGTGGAAGGGGCTATCACAAGCTTTATTCAACCCACCCACCACATTCGCAGTTCAATACAATTTCAAATCAGTTCACACTTCCCAAATTAATATGGGAACTGGAGCACAATGACCTTTCGGTTTCCTCACTTCTCCAAATGTTGTGGTGCAGCTCTATTGAGAAGGCACGCAGCACAAGAAAGTGCTTGCAAAAATGTCTGTTAGGCATCAATGCATAGAAAAACGCATATGACTGTTCGTTTATGCAAAAATGCATTCAAATTTTCACACAAGCTTTAAAAATGTTTGCAAACTGATGTGGTTATGGGAATGAACAAACTTATGCTTGAGAAAAAGGGAACATTCCAGAAAACGACCATCAGTTTGTCCATTTCATTCGTCTACTGGGAGAGTTTTCAAGGATTTTTTCCAGGTTCATTCTCTTTAAAAATTAGAGCGCCTGATTTTAGGACTAGAGCCACTGAGAAGCCTCTTGTCCTTGGACCAGGTTAGGGTTAGGGTTAGGTATAATTACTGTGGAGGTCTTCTTGAATGTCCCCCAGGAAGAAAGCATTTGTATCCCTCTTCAAACTTGCAAACTCGCGTATAATCCATTTGCTATGAAGGCCTTTCTTTCTTTGGGAAATACATCTTGTGTGGATATAATTATGAAGTTTTCAATTATATTTTTCTGGGGAGGTATTAGCTTTCTTTTAATGGTTAAAAAGCTAATCTAAGTAATCAGAGAAGTCAATTATACAAATGTGATATTTTGCCAGTCCCATTCACTGTATATTCATGAAATGTTGTCCCATTTAATGCAAAGAAGGAAACTTTCCTTCAAAGGCCTGATTATTTTAGTATCTGGCTTGTCGGATTGCATGCCTACAGGCATCGTTAGCAGAATCCTTGTAAACAGACAGCCCCTTAAGGCTTTTCAGCATGATTGCAGTTCAGCATTAAGCTAGGCTGCAGCTGTGATGCATTACAGCTTACCCATTCCATTGCTCTCCAGATGTGTTGAATTATGAATCCCATAATCCTCAGCCAACGTGGCCATGAGTTGTGTTGGCTGGGGGTGGTGGGGGCTGTAGTCCAACACACCTGGAGCCAACAGATTGGAGAAGGCTGAAGCTTCAAGCATTGCAACTGCAGTCAAGCAGGGATACTTGCCAGATGCATTTGGTCCAAGAACCCCAGCAGTGAACTCAGCTCAGGATAAGGGAGAACTTAGCTGAGATGGACTTTGGTAAATGTGCTTTGTTTCACCTTATGTAGCTCACAACAGCTTCCCAGTTAATGTTTTCCCTGTAACCATATTTCTTCTGTTCTCTCCCACAGTCTTATCTGGGCTACCTGACATTGGTTTTGTGCACTGCCCACACGTTGGGCTATGGTGGGAAGAGGTTCCTGAACAGTGGCTCCTACCCCTGGTTCCTTCCTTCTGTTTACATGTACTCCCTCATCATCCCTTGTATTGTGTTAGTCATTAAGTTTTTCCTAATATTTCCATGTATAGATAGACCACTAACCAAAATTCGACAGGGCTGGGAGAGGAAACCCAAACCCCAATCAACTGGAGTCTCATCATCAGTATAATTGCTTAAGAAATAGACAAAATGAATTCTCTATTTTCAATAGTAAGATATGGCCAGAGAATAAGCACCTAAGTGGGGGATTCCATGCCCTCCACCTTCAATGCATGAGCTCCCAAACATTAAGGATTGTATGTACCCGGTCCAAGAAGCATCCACTGCCCTGTGCCCTGCACTTATCCAGACAGCCGTTTTTCTGTTGCATGATGTGCAGTCTCCTCCCCTTCCCATGTTTGAGCACTTACGGCTTTCTGATGTATTATCATATCTCACCAGATGCTTGTGGTCTATTTCTTCCCTTCTCACACCAGAGGATTCCCCTTTTTATCTTCCAGGGATGATTTAACCCCAGCTGGATACTTCCCAGCTCCTGTCAGCTTCCCCCCATGCTCTGTCAGCTTTTTAATGTTGTGTGTCAGCAGACTGGTTCCATTTTGTTTCAAGTGGAGCATGTCCCTCCTGTAGAGTTCCAGCTTGTCCCAAAATGTTCCCCAGATGTGAACCCTCCCCTCTACACCAATGCTTCATCCATGCATTGAGTTTCCTCGGCTGTTCTGCACATGGACCTGTGCAAAATTTGGTTTCTGGGCCTCAGAACTACATTTCCACATGTCATTGCTACCAACATGGAGCACAACCACTGGCTCCAACTCCACACTCTCTGCAGGTCCTGAGATTCCAAATAACCCTTACCCTTACCCTACCCCAAGCATTGGCACGGGAAGAACAGTGGCTGCTTATACAACGTCACAGAAGCAACCTCAAAGAAGGGGGCTAAGTAGCAGGAACAGGAGGAGACCAGCACTGCCAAGATAAGATGTGTCCTGCTCATGCCTCACTTCCTTTCTTCATACTCCAAAAGTTAGAGTTAGAGAGGCGCAGCACAGAGGTGATCTTCAATCTCTGTACTCCTCCCACTGTACAGAGGGTGCTCCTAATCCTTTGAGTTTGGAGACTTTGGGCATCCCCACAGAATGGATTCTTCTCATCCTCTTACAAGCTTAATCAGTAATAGGCAGGGTGGATGAAAATCAATGATTTAAAAAATAAATAAATTAAAAAATGGATTTTTATTTGAATTGGATTTTTAAAAATAAAATGCTTTTTGAGGAAAAAATCTATCTAAAGATAGTTTTCTATCTTTATAGTTCAGGGTTCCTCATCATGAAATAAGGTTTAGTTTTTAATTATGTAGCACAACACTGTATATTCATGAAATGTTTTTGGTAAACAAATTCCATTAATTCATTCACAATGTCATGTTCTTCCAGAGGTCTGTGGAAGATTTTTGGCATTTTTCTTTCTAGAAGATACTTTCACAGATGCTTGGTCTTACAGTCCTGTGTCTGCAGATATCAAGTGCCTCATCTTCACAGCAAAAATGTTATGAAATTTACATGCAGAGTGAGGAAAATGCCTTAATCCCATTGTTCCTTTACAAATCTATATACACAGAATCAACCCCTTGCCTCTTAAGTGCTAAGTTTCAAAACATTCAATGAATAGAAGAAGCTTGTTGGGAGTGGAATAGACCTGCACAAGGAGCTCAGTGTGAGGAGGGAGGGGCAAGCAGTAAAAAGGAAATGGAAACCTTTTGAGCAGAATAGCCCACAAGTCTTCGGATGTTTTTGTGCATAGCCTGAGGTTTATCCTATTTTTTTTTCCATGGAGGAGAAAACCTATAATGTTAGAAGGCCATAAAAGAAACCTGCTTCAGGAATATTTTATTGAAGTTCCTCTAACTATGGGTAAGGTGGGCAGGTGAACATGACTAAACATATCCATCCTGGTGATAGGCAAATAGTTTGCTCCTGGGATACAGGACGGCTGATAGCTTTATATTAATGTACTCTGCCATATTTGATAAAATGTTTACCTTTTACTTTTGAAGCATAAATCTCTATGTAAATTGTACATCACCATTTATACAGTTTATATTTTAATTACAATAAATAAAATGTTTTAAGAACAAATGTTTCTTTCTTAACTGGAAACATCAGTAGCACAAGCAAATATTTATTCTTTGGTGTAGCAATGAAGATGAAAACTTAAGCTAAGCTTAAGCAACTGCTAACAATATAGGACCAACATGAGACAGAACCCACAGAGTTACACTTCCACTTCCAGATATGTTAATAAGCCTCAGCTTGAGTTAGGACTTTCAGGGCAGGCAGGCAGGCAAGCAGGAAAGAAACAAAACTTGTTTACCATTTAAATAGGTCAATTTGATTATCAGGTAGCTTGAAAGATAATCAAGGAGTGTAGCAAAAAAATAGTCTTTCTGATTTCAAATAGAGTCTAACTGTCAAAGCCCAAGCATGGATTAAAATCCAGGTCTTTGCAAGCTATTCTCTTAGCCTGCTAGCACCCCAAATCTCCACCTCTGAGCAATTTCCAAGGCCTCAGAGTCAGAGACTCAGATTACAATGAAGGCAGAAGTGATCTTTTTGAAAGGGATCAATTTTTCACTGTGATTTGCTTCTTGAGTTTTACAATGGATAAAGCAGGAACACTGTCATAAAATTGTTACAGAGAAACTGCATGTTACTAAGCTGTTTATTTAAGTTTCTTTATCTGATACCAAACAATGTAGCAGCAGCGAGCTCATAGAACTTGGACCTAAATACAACCATTTTCACTTTGATCTTAAGTCCTCTTTGTGTCCCATTGATTTCACTTAGATTTACTTCAGAAACATTTATTTAGTGGGGAGCCATATTGAACTCAGGGGGACTTGCATCCATGTAATCATGCACAGAACGAGGCTTTCTGGAAGCAATTCTTTGAAGACTTGCTGAGCTAGGGTAAAAAGAAGGGAGATCTCCAGATGTTTTGGACTTCTACTCCTAGAACACCTTGGATGGGAGGGGATTATGGGAGCTATTCTAAGCTCCACTGAGGAAAAAATAGAACTTACTTTTGAATAAATATTTATTCAGCATGCTGCAGGCCTCCCACTGAGAAACAAAATATATTTCTAGACACTATGGGTGTGAAGCTGTATTTTAATATACAGCTCCAACTTGGGGGGGGGTGGATCTGAAGAACCAAACAAGTTGCTGCCACCCTGAAAATTTCACAGTGTACAATGTATGGATTGAGCACACAAGACAAAGAAGAGAAGTTGGAGGAGAAGTTGGGAGGAAGTTGCTGTAACCCACCCAGGGAACCATATGGCTAATGGGGTGGATTAGAAATTTAATTAAATAAATAATTAATATTTAGCAGCATTACACTTAGTATTGCAAAGCAAGCCCAGCTCAGCATAGCACTGTATTTTAGAAGCTTTTCACCATGACCAACTGGAAAGGGAAAGAAGGAGAAATGTGCCCACATGACACATCTAAATTCAGCTTCGCAGGAGCGTGTGGATTTCAGTTCCTTATTCAGACCACAGGTGCTGAATAATGAATTGGGAACTAGAAAACAACTCAAAGTTCCTTCCACTGTATAATGCAGTTCTGTGCAAACAGTACCACTTTTGTACAAAGATATAGAAACTGGGAAGTAAATTCTAGAAAGGCAGAACCTGTTGCAGAAAAACCACCAAGAGTCTTATGGTATCTTAGTCAAACAAATATCCTGTGACAGAAACATTTACAGATAAGTCAGATCCAATGATCAGACACATGAAGTAGTCGGCCACAAACACACACCTTCAGGGTGGTGGTGGAGGAGGAGGAAAAGGTTTAACTTCTCCTAGCCAAGAGCTGGAAGGGATAAACAAACATTAATTCTATGATGTAAACATCTAAAGAGAATCACATCTTGCAGTGAGCTACCCTTTCCTGTAGAGACCAAACCCCATGGTGCCATATTTAGTACTGAATTGCAATTTGTGGTTTTATGTAGGTTTTCCCCTTGGATTGCAGATGGGACAGTAAGAGGAGGAGGCTTTCTCAAAATTGAAAGTACCGGAAGTGCGTATTTTTGATTTAGGAAAGTACTGCCAGGAAACATGCATAAGGCTGTTCTGCGAAGCTGCAACCCTCCGCTCACCCACTCGGAGGCACGCCGCGTAGGACCCACTGCGTCTTTCTGCTTTAAATAGGGGCGATCGTATTGTACCGCGAAGTCCTTATTTTAGCTTCTCGACTGGGCCGCTCCTTTGCTGTACGTGTAAAACAACCGCACAGCTCCTTCGCTTCCCCACTGCGTTCCCAGAAAGTATCGCAATTGCCGTCAGTCCTCTGCAAAGCACGACAGTCTTTGTTTCACTATTGCGCGAAAGTTTCCATTTTAAAAAGGGCAGTGCGGCTTATTCCATTATTTTCGACAGAAAGGCGCGCTGATGGGCGCAGCGGCGACCGCAGCTTTCCGCTCGCCTGGCCACCAGGGTTAGGCAAAGGCGACCGACCCGCCCAGAAACTGCAGGCCGGCGGCTCCTCCCGCTGCCCCGCGCGGGGTAGGCTGGCCTCCCGCGCCCCCTTCCTCCTCTTATGCAAATGGTTTGCCCCGCTTGCCTTCCGGGCTGCGGCGGAGCCGGTGCGGCTGGGCGGGGTTGAGACGGCGTTGGAGCGAGCGGAGCATGGCTTACTCTGGGCAACCCGGAGCTGGCGGCGGCTACTACCAGGGCGGGGTGAGCGAGCCCGAGGCGGGCTGGCGCGGGCGCTTGGCACGGGCCTCCGATCCGGCTGACACAGGCTGCGGGGCGGGCTTCGCGCTCTGCGGCGGCGCTTTGCGAGGCACGGCTGGGCAGGGCGCCCCTGGCTTGGCCGCGGCGGAAGGAGGCGGCATGGTTGGGCTTAGGAGAGAGGCAGGCGGCAGGGGCTGCCGGAGGGTTCGCCTCTCCAGGCGAGCGGGCGGACCGCGCCTGCCGGGGTGCGCGCGGCGTGCAAGGGGTTCTCCCCGCTCATTGTCTCGCGCGCCCTCGTGCAGAGCGCACGCCTCGCGCGGCGCAGGGCTCGGACCCAGCCCCCGGCGTTCCCCGCCACGGCTGGGGAAGGGGCGCGGGCGCTGCCCTGGGGAGCCCCCGCCCGTCCGCCGCATGCTGAGCCAGGCGGAGCGGGGGCCCGCCCCACTCGGAGGGGGCCTCTCGTAGTGATGCAACCTTTCAGTTCTATTGACTGTTACTGGGACAAAAAGCCAAAAGGACTGGCTTCTCCCACCGGTGTAACGACGGTTTGATGGATGGAGCCAAGCATCTCGGAGCCCGGTTCCCCCAGTCTCTGGGATGGGAATTCGGCGGCAGCGGACGCTGCTGCCAACGCCGGAAACCATTTCTGTGCTTTGGCTTCCTGGTTGCCGCTACCCAAGATATTGGGGTTTTTACCAGGATGTAGGTCGGATGGGCTAAAAGTGAAAGTCTGTGTGCTGTCATGTGACCTGCTTGCAGCTGCTAGTGAGATGGTATGTGAAGCAGCTCTGAGGCGGACAGGATGAGCGGGTACACTGGGTATCTTTGAGTTGTGGATGCCTCTTATTTTCTGGCACTCCACCCAGGGGACTGGCTGCAGCTCAGTCCTCCATCAAACGTGTTCCACGCTCAGCCTGTGCAGGTTTCTGCCCCATTGCTTAGCAAGTACTGCTGAAAGCTACATTGTCGTGTGGTCAGCGAATGGCCACAGGTGTCACAGTGCAGAGTTCTTCCATGCAGCACTGCGCCCCTAGCTTATCTGCTGAACTTTTATCACAATCCTCCTTCAGAGAACTCAGGTGACATACAAGGTTCTTCCTGCATGGCATACAACAGGGTGGCATAGAAGGTGCTGTATCCTCTTAATAACCCTGTGAGGTAGGAGAGGCCAGGAGATACTGCTGGGCCCGAAGTAATCCATCAGCTTCATGGCTGAGCGGGGATTTGAGCTGAATCGCTCTGGTCCTTGCCTCCCCGTATGACTTGGGCATAACCAACCAGGTGCCTCCAGACATTTTGGAGTATGGCTCCCATTAACCTCAGCCAGCATGTCCAGTGGTTGAAGGTTGTGTCCTCAAACAACTGGAGCTTGCCAATCCCTGTTCTAACTGCACTGCACTGGCTCTTGTTGGGCTGCAGGTGAAATGGATTCTGTGGCTTGGGGTGTGGCTTTAAAAAGCCAGAAGAGAGAGAAAGGTTTCTGTTTGGATAGCACCTAGGACTGCAGAGCCAGAAGATCTGTTTGAAACATGTGTTTGCTTTTTACTATGCTCCATGTGTAGAAATGGCTTACTCTCCCCTCCCCACACCTTCTTGTTTTTCTCTAAGCATCTACCTTGTAATGTAAGCCTTTTTATATCAGGTAACCAACAAATATCACAGCAGCCTTCGCCAGTCTGGTATTCTCAGCCATTGTGGCTTGAAGACAAAGGGGGTTGTAGTCCAATATGTCTGGAGGGCACTTGATTAGTTAAGGTTGTATTGTAAGTTGAATGACACTTGCATAACAATTAGATTTCTTAAAAAGCTATAAATAGTTTTCATATTTTAAAAATCTAGTTAAATTAAACAAGAATAAACACCTGAGTTTAAGTTATTATATTTTTATTCTGCTTTTTCCTGCAAGGAACCCAAGGCAGTTTACATAATCCTCCTCTCCACTTTTCTCTCACAACAACCTTGTGAGGTAGGTTAGGCTGAGGGACAGTGACTGCTCTGAAGTCACCCAGTGATCTTCATGGTGAAGTGGGTGCTAGAATGTGGATTTCACACGTCTTGGTCCAGCTGAGACCACTACACCACGCTGGCTCTGTGAACATTACTGTTCTGTGTAATTCCTGTGGAGGTGGGAGGAATCTGGGCATTGATAAATATGAGTAGATCATCATGGGCAGTGGAGCAGAGCCTTAGGCACAAGGAGAAGTCTGTCTGTTAGATGCCACAGTCTATCCATTGTGACTGCTGCAGTGACTTTGTATACACCTATTGTACTAACTGAGCCTTGCAGTTCTTTAAGCAAACCAAGGGTACTTCCTTATCATATTAAAATTCACGGCATTGCCCAGCAATTACCAGCCTTTGCTGTTGGAAAGTTCTAGGCCTCGGTTGCTCATACAAAAAGACACTTAACCATTAATGAACTAATATTTTGCATGGTTTTTTTTGGCATTTCCAGGGTAGGATGGAGGCAGGTCAGGCAAGTTATAGGAAAGTGAATGAAAGCAATGGCAGCTGAAAGCAAAGAGGATAATGTGCTTCTTATTCCACAAAAGAAAATAGGCTGTGACCTAGATCATGGGTTGGATCCAGACTAAGGCAGTTGGAGTTTCATCCCATTGTAGGGATGGGATGTATTAACCTGTATATTTATGTCCCTCCTTTCTTCTGCCAAATTCAAAGTGGTTGCAAGGGGTTCCCAAGCTGGTCTCACAGCCAAACCTAGAGCAGCTTAGGTTCAGCAGGATGGCAGCATGAGGTCCTTTCACACTATGTTGACTGTATAAGTCTCATTCGTTTCAGTGGGAACTGACTTACAGTGCAATTTGGTGGTGGTGCCAGAGAGATTACATGGTAGGAAAACAACCTCTTCCCAACCTGTGCAAGAAGTATTTTCTTTCCCTCCACCCCATTGTGGTTATTTTTCATTACATACCCTTCCGGTGTTCCAGCACCAGCAACAGAACATCAGTACTCACAAAGCTTTCCAGGGATGTCGAGGCTCTTTCAAGTCAGAAATGCCATCTCTCTAGAGATGGAACAGCTCTGTGGATGGTTTTGGCATTGCTTTGGCCAGTCTTGACCCAAAGACAAGCATTTACAGTACCTGATTTGAAATGTAACTTATTTTACTGGTCAAATTAACCAGATGGTAGGCACCATGGCCTAGGAAGTAAACACACAGTACTAATAGGAAGCATGGTTGGACTCAGTGTCCAGATTTCACATAATGACCATAGTTAGCTGTCCTGGTGGTTAGGCGGTTATGGAAATGATAGTTCAACCCCCCTGGAGATCACATTGGGGAAGGCTATTCTGGTTAGTTCTCCAGACAGATGTAGACCCACAACTGGTCAGGAGTTGATTATTAGCTTGTTACGAAATGGTGCTTAAAATGGACTTTCCAGATCTGAAGTCTGCAATCCTCAATGAGCACAGTGCAATTTGGTTCTGAGTAAAGATTCATAGGACTGCACTGTATGCATTAATTGTATTTCATTTACTTCTAGTATGGAAGTGCTCCAGGAGGGCCAGCATTTCCTGGTCAGGCTCAAGATCCTTTATATGGTTATTTTGCTGCAGTAGCTGGACAGGTATGGTGCCTTTTATTTTCCAGAAGACACAGCAGTATTAGATGGTTATTTTATCACAGATCTAATTGTATGATATCTTGTAATTTATCTTTATTCTGGATGTACTGTCCTGTTCTTGCTTGGAGTTTCCAAGTTCCTACATTCCAATGGAGTATCCTGGAATAGGGCATAGCTGGAGGGTGGCTTTTGATTTTGTGCCCTACTTGCAGTTTATCATTATGAATGTGGCATTCCCCAGCTCCCCTTGTTTTATATTTTTCTGATTTGGCAATGTATTCAAAACTGATGTTCCAGGATAATTCATATGGAAGCCATGGGTTTCTTCCCACATAAATGTTCCTCGCATTTGTACCTGTGTTGTTCTTTTCTAGTTATGAGGAAGAGTACTCTTAGTTTCAGAATAAGCCAGGAAATGAAACCATAGTTTTATCATGGCTTGTTGTCTGATAATCATGGTTTAAACCAAGGGTGAGGAATGTGTGACTTCCAGATGTTGTTGGGCTACAATCCCTGTCAGCCCCAGCCACCATGACCAGTGGTGAGGGATCATGAAAATTTCAGTCCACACATTTCCCACTCATCATTTAAATGATATAGTTTCAAGAATCCAGACATTATAAAGAACTATGGATTGCACTATGGATACTCCTGATCTGCTCATAACCGTGGAGAGGAGGGAAAAGGGGTAGTGTGTAAGTGTGTACATCAGGCAGGCACATTGATGTAGCAAGAACAAACTGTGGTTTCCATTATATCTGGACCTAGGAATGGTAATACATCAGAGAATTAAGCTTCTGACTGGAGACAGGCACTTTTTAATTCTCTCGTTCCCTTTACAAGTATTCATTTTTGAAGTTCTTTTAACAAGTCTCTGTTCCAGGATATTTGAAACATATCAGAATTTTCTATTCTGGGAAATTTATTACACCCACCCACACATGATCTAGTCTGTCTGTATTTATATGGCACTAATGTTCCGGCAGATTTAATCTGCTGAGACTGGGGAGATCACATTGAAAAATGATTATTTTCACAAGCAGTATCGGTATTGGTGTGTTTATCTGTATGCAGGTGATTAATAGCAGACACATTTAAACTGAGAACATTGGTCAGTATGAAAAGATAGAATGAAAAGTAGAATCGGGCCTTCAGTATTGTAGCCTTCCAGATGTCATGCTAACAATGGTTCCTCCTTAGGAGAATACAGCTCCACACACCTTAGGGGAATTTCTTCCTCATTTCACAGGTGGTAGTTCAGAATTCCCAGTCTTTGTTTTCTGAAAACTGTGGCTGACTGTTTTTTCCCATCGGAACACTGTTCTGTTTGCCGGTTTGGTTTGCATATATGAAGCTGTACTTTCTCAACATTTTCTGCTGGTCTCTGGAAGATTTACTGCTAGTTATGAGATGTGCACATTTTCTTGTAATAGGAAAGCATTACAAGAAAGGTGCTAGGTCTCTAGCCTGCCTCTCCTCTCCAGAGGTGCCTGTTGTCTTGAGAAAATTCACAGTGGTTTATCGATAGCAAAGAAGAAAATATTTGGAACATAAAAGGTAAAACTGGAATTATTCTCTGTTTTCTGAAGGATGGACAAATAGATGCTGATGAGCTTCAAAGATGTCTGACTCAGTCAGGAATTTCAGGCAACTATAAACGTAAGTTTTGCCATTTTGAACAAAATAAGGTTTACGTGGCATCATCAGGACTAATAGCTTTATTATGACACTATTATGAATTAGACTCTATTTTATCAGATGCATTTTCAGTTGGCTTATATATTATACACATAGATCTAGAAACCAAGCATTGTCTAATTACTTTTGAGTGCCATCTTATGCGGGTAATAAGGCCCCAAAACCCACAGGGCAGAGGAGTGGTAGAGGTGATCCCTGCCTCCCAATCCTGAAGTTTTGCTAGATAAGGTTTTTTACCTGTACAGTGATAGCATATCAGGGGAGGAAGAAGACAGTTGGAGAGGCCTCAGGACAGCTTGGATCCTCACCTCTGCAGCCTTCCTAACCCACTGGAACACCCCCTTTTACTCCAAGACCATGTTTCTGATCTTGGAGAGGCAGCAAGTGTTGTTCATTCCATACTGGTTGTAAGCTGGAAAAGGTTTGGAGCCCCAGTTCACTGCTGCAAGGTCAGAATATTGTGTCCAAATTCAGGGCTAGGACTCAGAAATACCTGTGCCCTTTCGGGCACTGCCTCTGACCATAGGATTACACTGTTACTTCTGAATAGATATGCATAAGATTGCCTTGCAAGGCACTCGTACTTGTTGAAGCTGTTGTCCTTGCACACTTAGGTTGGCAGCAGGATCCACTCACTCCTGACTAAAAATGCATCATCTAGTTAAGCTGCTTTGGAGGGGTTTTTCCTATAAGATAGCCTAGAATAGCAATTACTTTGTAAATTTAATTAATATGCCAGATAATACAATTCTGTATGCCTGCTAGGTCATACATACTGCACCTTAAGTTATTAAACCAATAAAATAGGCTTGATAAGAAGCCAAGTAGCTTAGAGGGTGCAAAGCAGCCCCCCCCCCCCCCCCAAGCTCCACCCTCAACAGACAGAGGGATTGGCTAAGGGGCTACCACCCTTGCCCCTTCATTCCACCCAGCATTCACAATTGCATCTCTCTGCCCTGGAAAACTCTTTAGGGATCTGTGTTTTTCTTCCTTTACCTTCCAACCCAGTCTTTTTCAGGCACTGATGGCAGATGAAGAAGCAGGTAGGGAATAAAAGTCCTTGTGCAGATGATGTATTTCAGCTAATCTTTGGCATCTGTATCTGATTTGACTAATATGTTTTCTTTTTCCCTATGAACAGCTTTCAACTTAGAGACATGCAGGCTCATGATCTCCATGCTGGATGTATCCTTTTTGGATCATTAGTGTTTTCTGCTTTATGTTCTGAGGAGTTTGCTTGATTTTTTTTCCTTTCTTGAAATAATGGAAGAAATAATGTTAACTGAAACAATTTTTAGTACTTTAAAGTGACTTTCCCCAGATGTTTTGCACTATAAGATCCATTATTACTGACCACTGCCTGTTCTAGCTAGGGCTGATGGGAATTATACGCCAGACATCTGGAAGCACTATGTTGAGGAAGCCTGCTTTAAAACGATCTGATTTGAGCCATTTACTCTTTCTGGATGTGAAACCTCTATGTGTAAAGGAAGAAAGGTGTCTAAGATAGAAATAGTTTCTTCTTGATGCTGATCAAAGGAAGTCATATTGGTGTTGCAATAGACGGACCCATATTTAGGACAGTTAAAGGAAGCACTGTTTCACACCGTGTATAGTTAAACTATGGAATTTGCTGCCATGGGAACTGGTGATGGCTGCCAATCTGGATTGCTTTAAAAAGGGATTGGACAGATTCATGAAGGAGCTGGCTACCAGTGGCTACTAGCCTTGCTGGCTGTGTGCCACCTCCTTTACCAGAGGCCTGCCTGCATCCACCAGTTGCTGAGGAGCTTGGGCAGGAAGTGGTCTTGCACGGCAAGGGGCGGCATAGAAATGTTTTAATAAATAAATAAATAAAATCTTGCTTGAGGGATCCTGTGGGGAGCTGGTTTGCCCCCATGTGTACCAACCTTTGGTCTGCTCCAGCATGGCTTTGCTTATGTTCTTCTTCTTATGTTTTAATTGTGCATTTGCTTGGCATACTTTTAGATTTTGTATCTAGCGCAAGCAATTGCTAGTTTTTCTACTAGTGCGAATCTGAAGTGTATATTTGCCCGTAGGGTTGCGGCCCAACTCCACAGATGTCTTTGGCTGAAAAGGCAAGCTGGGCAGTGACAGGCTGCCAAGACATAGTGCTGTAGCCTTCCAGAGAGCAGGGATGCGGTTCTGAAGAATACTAATCTTGAGTTGCTCTTGCTGCCAAACCATCCTTAGCTGCATTTCAGAGGGACATGTCTGGCATGCTGGGCTTCAATGAATTCAAGGAGCTCTGGGCTGTGCTGAATGGTTGGAGACAGCACTTCATGGGGGTCGATGGTGACCATAGCGGTGCAGTTGATGCTCAGGAGCTGCAGAAAGCCTTGACAGCCATGGGTAAGCAGCAGCCCTTCCCCTCTTGCTGGAAGTGGCCAGGCCAAACCCCAGAAAGCCCCTGCCAATCCCTTAGCCTGTGAAATGTGAGCCTTGCACCAGTCACTGCTGGCACAGCATGCTGCTTGTCAACCCTCCCTGTAAAGCGCAGCCAGAACCCCCTCAAGTGCATGGTGGAACTTGTTGCTGAAAGTGGAGACCCTGGAAGAGGACATGGCCAGAGAGTAGTTTTCCATTTCCCAGCCTCTGTCATCATTGGCATTTGGTGCCCACTCACACACTCATTTCTCATTGGGCTATTTTGGGGTCTTCTTCCTGAGCCCTTAGGACTTCTTAATAATGTTTTGTTGAGCTTTTGCAAACCCCACCCTGCTAAATGCCACCCTCTTGAGTGCAGTTTCTGCCGTTCCATTTACATTAGGGTGTGCACTCAGAGAATGAGTTTGCTGACAATATTCACATGTCGCCAGGTTAGCGGATCTTGAACTGTAGTCCAATACCTCTGGACAGTATGAGGTGGAGGGAGGGCTGGTATATAACAACACCTTTAGCTCTGAGTTGAGTTTCTATCCTTCTTTCATCCAGGATTTAGGTTGAGCCCACAGGCAGTCAATGGAATTGTGAAACGATACAGCAGTCATGGAAAGATATCCTTTGATGACTACATTGCATGTTGTGTGAAACTCCGAGCTCTTACTGGTATGTCCAGGTTCATGATGTTCTCTTAAACCTGGTTGATATGTTCCAGATGTGTTGGGCTGCAACTCCCCTAATTCCAGGCCAAGACCATTCTGTCCAGGGATTATGGGAGTTTTAATCAAACACATTTGGAGGGGACCAGATTAGGGGAGGCTGTTGCAGGCAGTGCATCCTGGTGCAAGGCAGAATGAGCTGCCCTGTCCCGTCATGTACAATTACTGTGTAAGTGGTTTGCTTTTGGCTCATTCAGTCAAAATTCTCCTGTTTCTTGCCTGATTCAGTCCACCGTGTGGAGCTCGAAATTGCCTTTGCTGGTGGAACTGCATGTCCTTAAAAGTAGTGTTTGTTGCCACTCACAAGACTGCCCCATTGTATCTGGATTCACCAAGAAAGCGCTCAAACTGCTTGTGTGAATTGTATCTCTTGGAGGCACTCTTACTTTCTATCATGGATGAGCCTTAAAACCTGGAATATATTCTTAACTGAATGGGTTTTTCTCCAGATGAGTAATGAAGTATTTTTAAAAGGGTTAAAGTCAGTCATTGATAGTGTTAATACCACATACTGATTTCTGCTCTCCTTTTCAGGCTTTCCTGCCTATCTTCCAGTTTATTTGGTTGGTTATTCTGGAACTACTTCTTCCATCTTTTGCTTCTTCCGTATATTACAACTGACTGTAGCACATGAATAGTTTCTCTTACAGAATATAGGACCACATTCCCCCTGGGCAACATTGGTGGGTAATTTCAAGCTACCCCAATATCAGCCAAAGAGATGTGTTGGTCTGCATATATCACAGGAAAGAAAGAGGCCTGTTGGACATACAAACAAAATGAAAATCTTTAAACCTTCCTTCCCTCAACCAAAAATGTTGTTAAAGGATTTGCAGTACTTGTTGAAATAAAATCCATAGAGTGTGCTTACAGCAAGGTAGCTTACAGTTTTGTAATGCTTTTAATTCTGGATCATGTCTTAATTTTGCTGTACTTTCCGTTTTGTTTCTGCAGATAGCTTTCGAAGAAGGGATGCAGCTCAGCAGGGCATGGTGAACTTCCAGTATGATGATGTAAGTGGATATAAGCTGCTTGTGTAAAATGAGAATGTTCCTTGCATGTTGCAACCCATGGCAGCCAGTGAAGCTGAGAGAATGGATTGTCCATTCTCCATGAAACTAGTGTTGCATTCTTAAATGTGTTGTAATCTTGTAATCTTAAATGCGTCCACTCAGAAGTAAGGCTCAGGGTGGTGAGTATACAGATGATGTTGTTTGGCTGCAGTTTGAGTCTCAAATGATGGAAGCTGACTTATGCAGTAAGGTGGTGAAAAAGCAGTATGTCTACACCACCAACCCTGTGAAGTAGGACAGACTGCCAAATACCACTTCTTGATATTCCAGAGGTATTGGTGAAATGTTTTTTCAGCACTAGAAATCAAGAGAATTACATTTCCAAGCTGAAAATTTAACCCTACCATGTTTAGTACACCTGCTCAGCCCCCGACCACCTTTTGCTGCTGCTTTCCAGTTGACAGCAGGCGACTGGCAGCTGTCAGTTCTTCACAATTTAGTGTGTACTTTGGTCCATCTCACCTCCTCATCCTGTTAGAGATTAACAGCCGAAGCAGACAAAGCCATTGACCAGGCAAGGGTACATACAGTGGAAAACTAAGTGCTCACTTGTTAAACACTGACCAAAAAAGGAAAAAAAAATGAAGAAATATTTCTGAGTCAAAACAAAAAACAAGAAGATGAAGACAAAACACCAATTGTGCTTTTTTAAGGCTTCCTCCTACATAAACAAAAAAGAATGGTGAATAGAATACAGTACAATCAGAACAGGGAAGATAAGTTGTGCTACAAGGGATGCTGATTTCCACATGGAGGACCCAGGAAGCCACAATTCTTTGCCGTGTCTACAGCACTGACAGCGAACCTTTTAGGGACTGCCTACCCAAACTGTAACCTAAAACCCACATTCTGCACAGCTCATCTTTTCTGCCCATTCTAAACACATTCCAACCATCAAAATCATGGCAGGACACCTCGTTTTTCTAACCCTAACCCTGCCCTGGTGCACACCTGTAACCCTAATATAGGGCTAAAGTTCCATTGAAAAGAGTATGATTTTGAAAAAGCCTTCCTTGAGTAGCTTTTTCTGTACAGCTCATCCTTTCTGTCCATTCATAACACATTCCAACCATCACAATCATACCAGGACACCCCGTTTTTCTAACCCTAACCCTACCCTGGTGCACACCCCTAATCCTAATAGAGGGCAGAAGTTCCATTGAAAAGAGAGGGATTTTGAAAAAGCCTTCCTTGTGTAACTTTTTCTGCACAGCTCATCATTTCTGCCCATTCTAAACACATTCCAACCATCAAAATCATGCTGGGACACCTCGTTTTGGTAACCCTAACCTAGTGATGGTGAAACTTTTAGAGACCGAGTGCCCAAACTGCAACCCATAACCCGTTATTTATGCCAACAGTGCAATAAAGCTTGAAAACTGAGGTTTTAGTTTAGAAAAAACAATTTGCAGCAATTCCAAGCAATTATATATATATCCTTGGCAGCGCACTGACTGGCCATGCGAAAGCTCAGACGAGTTGTGGCTAATGAGTCACGGCCTTTGACATCATCGCCTGGCACCACTACTCCTTTCCAAGCATGCACATGGCCCCTATGTGTGCTGTTATCCAATGCTGGGGCGATGCTGGGGCGACTTGGCTCGCGTGCCAACAGAGAGGGCTCTGCGTGCCCACTGTGGCGCACGTGCCATAGGATCACCACCACTGGTCTAGGGCTTTCCCAGAAGCAACTTTTGGGGCCATATTCTGGACTGCATTCTCAGTTCACACAGTGGGACTTTGCCCCCGGTGCACTCTTCACATGCCCTGTACTCCTAACAGCTGCTTCCACATTGCACAAGAAAATCCACAAAGATCAAATGGCTTTCATGGAAGGCCATTTGTCTCCACTGAGCATTTCTAGGAATAGTTTGAAAACCATTCCACCAGCATCCTTCACAGCAGGGAACCTGTCACCCACCAGATGCTGTTCCACTCCTAACTATTAATCTGCCCAGCCACCATGGCCAGTGGCTGGAGAGGATGAATGTTGTAGGCCAGGAACTTCTGGAGAGGCACCCATTCCGCACTCCTGTTTTGCCAGCATCTCACTGCAGACTCTTGTAGCTCTTCATTGTAGTGATACACGGTGCTTTCTCTTTGCAGTTCATACAGTGCGTCATGAGCATCTGATTCAAGCTGAAGGAAGAGACTGATGAGCATGGTCCACATTCCTCTTTGATTTGCTTTGCACCAAAAATTATCATGGCTATGTAACTAAATTAGTGGTATTTGCATATTTTATAAATATTGATTTATATGCTTTTATAGTTTTGATAACTAACAAAAGGGGGAACCATAATAAATGCTGGTTTGGGTTGATTTGACCTGGATATTTATAATTTGCTTGATATGGAAGTAAAAATAGTTAGTTTTTCCTTTATCTCTTCCTGTACTGAAATTGTTCATATTAGGACACACTTATCCCAGATGATCCCAGGATAAACAGTTGGGCATGTATTAAAATAAGTACACAAAATATCAGTGAAATTTGCCTGCATGAACAATATTTTTGGTCCCCGAAATGGAAAAACTTCCCTTTCCTATCTAGTAATCCAAGTATTCCTTCCTCAAAATGTTTTGTTTGTCCTCGATATTTCAACAAGTGGGAAACACGCAACTGGTAATGTTCTTCGCTAACTGTGCCATGCTTTCAATTGAAGATTTTTGATATAATGTATTTATGTGAAAACAAATGCACAAATACTAATGATGCCATAATTTCATGGAGAATTAGGAAAAAATCTTAAAGGAGTACCTTAAATTCTTCTTCTGGGGTGGTTCTTTATACCACATTGCAACACAACTTTGGGATCACTTCTGTCATGTGCACTGGATTTGATCCAGACTTAGGCATACTTAATGTCAACCCAATGAAATGACAAGGCAGGACTGCAAACTAGTTGAATTCAATGCATGACTAAGCCTGGATCCCATCCACTTCATTTTAATAAAACAAATTATTTACTAAATGTTTCCCCTTGTTGACACATTTAAATGCCTGTGTATTGAATCTTGTCATTCATCATTCTAGTATGAAATGTATTGTAATTCCCTTTTCTTAAATTAAAAGGTGCATTTATTTATCTTAGGAAACATTTCATACCTTTAAGTGCCCATTTTATATAGAAGGTGCTGGAGATGGATTTAAAGAGGTCCCTTCTTACAAATTCTCTTTATAAGGTTATAAAGCAGGAAAAGGAGAAGGGAAAGGGAGGGAGGATAAGCAAAGGAGAAGGATGGATTGGATGCCTTCATTTTTCAGCTTCAGACTTCTTGAAAATACATAGGACAGAAATCTGGCAACCCTGCAGATTTAGAAGGTGGTGCTTTATATGTCCTCACTGTTGTGACTCACAACAACAGTTTGCTAAATTTTAGTGCAGTTTGCTAATATGAACATAGTCAGTAAAGTAATAACAAAGAAGACATGCGGATTACTGACAGCATCATGCAATCTAACTGCAAGTTTATGCTCTTCTTGATGGCAAAATTTATTTCTTACCTTCCAGCATACTAGTAGGTTCCATGGCACGAGTTGGGGGAAAAAAAGCATTGCCGTTTAGTCATGTGAGTTTGAGCTTGTTTCTGTTTATATTTAAATATACGTATCAAATATCAGGAAACATTCTGGCTAGCAGAAGGACAACTGAACTTTCTGTTCCACAGGCTCGGGCTTTTGAAAGATCTTCATATTACCTCCATTTTTCCTTGGTTACATGCAAATGTAACCACAAACCAAACATAGCTGGACTTTTCTCAATCAGACTGTTAGTTTGTTTGAGAAGTTGCTGATACCGATATGGTCTGTGTTTGCCACACAGATGCCATGACTGACATATGAAGTTAAAGAATAATACTGCACATAGCCGAGTTTGACAGTGTGGATCCAGTTGATTAGTTCTGATTCTCTGGTGAGCCTCCAGGGGTCTCAGCAGAGACCCGCTCTTGTTCTGAAATCACACTGGCCATGAGTTGTCCATAATCTACAAAGTAATGCAACTTCACAACACCAGGTAAAATGTTTAAACTGCCAGCATTTAAACTGGCTTTTTAATTCTGTTTACTGTATTATCTATACTATTGGTGATTACATAATAAATTATGGCTAACAAGTTGACAATAATGCACCATTCTATCATTCCAGCCTTGTGAAAACATACTGAGTTTCCAGACTTCCAGGGCAGTTGAAAGCAGTTCTGGAAGTAGCAAATTACAACTTTCATGCTTAAGCTGACAATCACTCTCTGTGATTATTTTGAGTGTAGGAAGGAACACATTAATGGGTTTAATTACCTTCCATATCGAGAGTGTGCTGCAATAGCAGGATATGGTATCTGTGTGGAAACTAATCCAAGCTTCCCAAGATGCACCAATCCCTATTAAAAAGATTTTCCCTTTCTCTATAATATAAAAAAATACAGTTGAAGACGTGAGGAGTGAAAAATACCATGAGCAAGTGATTTCTTTTTCTGCCACATGCTGCCAGTCATGAGAATCAGGGAGAAACGTGGCATTAGGTTTCCTTTCTTTACAGGAAATGTTTTTTTCTTCTTCTTTTCTTCCTACTAAAGATTTTTATTACCTTTTTTTATTTGGGATTCTGGCTTGCTGCCCCAAGTGAAGTGCTACCTTGCAGCACCTTATTTATTAGTATCCTCTTTATCTGACTTTATTAGTTTTGGAGATCAGATCACACCTCTGACTTGTGCTTATAAATTGACTATCTGGGATTAGCATTCTAACAGACATTGCAAATGGGGAATAGACACCACACACTTCTCAAGGCCAGTGGAAAGTTGGGATTTTCCCATTCCCTGTGTTTTAGTCAGCCTCTGCAAACACTGAAATTCAGAAGCCGTTTAGAAGATGCCACACTGCCTTTGTATGCAACTGAAAGTCTTTTTTCTGATGGTGGAATACATCAATAACAATGGAAATCAGGCAATTTGCACCACATATTCCAGTAGTAAGGGGCGCTATGTAAAAGTTTTGAAAAATTGAGATTCCAAGTCACAATTCTGTAAAAGGAACATTTTTATTCATTTACAGGAAAACTGACTTTATAATGTTGATGACAAAGCCATATTCAGATCTACAATGATATAATGTGTAGGGTTTTGTATTGGCATTTGTCAGATATCTGATGCTTCAAGCAGTATATTGGGTAAGAATTGAGAGTCCCATAAAGTAAAACAGTTACAAGATGCAACATGATTATTGTAGAAACAATATCCAGTGTTGAATACAGTTGTTCGATCTTACCATATGGGGTAGCTTTAATTACTTTTAAAGCAACACATTACTGCGAAAAATCCAGCCGTTGAGATATATTGTACACCAAAGTATCCATGTTGAAAACAATTGCAGCAGCAGATTTAAAATGCCATCAGTGCCACTTTGATTAACATCACAGCAAGTTGAAATAAGATGGTCATCCAAGTTAAGTGAGGGTTGAGTTCCATTTAAACTAATAACATTAAAAGCACACATAAATTGTGATGGGTTATGGCCAGTATTAGAATAATGCAGTGTCATATTTTTAGTTGAATAGTTATAGTTTAATAAGTACTAGATGATGCTTAGCAAATACTACACAAATTGTCAATGCAGGCCAGCATTAATTTGCCATTATAAAGATATATATATATATGATACCTTAGTACTTACTGAATTACAGCTCCATGATATTGTATAGTTATCAGCTAGCACCACTATATTCATATGGCAGTGAAGCGTATTTATAGGTGGCTTTTAAATTGGTTGTAAAAATATATTTTGACTATGCAAGGTCTTAAGGCCTCTCAGGCTTAAAAAAATAATCTGTACTCCCTTATTTGAAGTTGTAAAATGGGAAGGATTTTAAAGTTTGACTTGCATTTACATACAACTTAAGAGTACGTCCAGAGGCTTATATCCTTGCCTCAGATAGGACATTTTACGGGGAATCCGCACATTGTCAGCCAGGGAGTGGGGAAATGACAGTACTTCCTTTTTTTTTTTTTTCTTCCCAGAAAAAACATTAAGGTAGCAAGGATGCTCAGTAGCTTTTCATTCATAGCACTAGGAGCCCTTGGCCCATAAGTACTTCAGGTGTATTCACAGGATTGCTACTGTGCCATGTTCTACCTGCCTGATTGTCACTCTGCTGTTGTGGGCTGCCTTATTAACATCTTCCACTTAGTGGCTTGGGATGCAGTCCTTTGACGTGCACCATGAGTAGAAGCCCCCAAACCTGGGGGTCTTCCCAGCATCCTTTGCAGGGCAGGAGGATTGTCAGAGGTGAGCTTCACCGCTGCATCCTTCTGCCCTGCCTTTTTTGCCCATCTAGTGGGAGGGGTGGAGGGGGAGGGCAGGAGAGGAGACTGGAGAAGCCCCAGGAGAGCTTGTCTCACCTCTCCAGTCTTGTCCCCTCCCCACCCACTGAAACGTCCCCCTTCCCTGCACTCAAGTTACTGGTCTCCAAGCAACCAGCTGTTCTCCCTGCGCTACCTGGAAGGTGAAGTGGAGTCAGAGTTCTGATTTCCCCTCTGAGTTTGGAGCATGGGACCTCAGTTGCTGTCTGAGGCTGTAGGATTGCACCTTGAGATGCCTTCCACCAACTTGATTGGTTTTCCCTATAGGGCAATCCTGTAGCTGCCTACTAAGAAGTAAGCCACATTGCATTACATTATTTACTCCCAGGCAAGTTTATATAGGACAGCTATATATTTCAGATAGCTAGAATTGTTTAAATGGAAATAGTTTCTTATCAGTTTAACTTTTTTTTTTTACCTGAACTAAACTTCATTGCAACTAAGGACTTCGCCATCTCTTTATAAGGTCATGGAGGAAAATGGATGCTAGATTCCTGTGCAGGTACCACAAAATTCAAAATTGTTATTAAAAGCAAGTTTTAAAAATCAGCATGTGAACTTATGTTTGTTTATGTATTTCATTTTTATACCACCCAATAGCCAAAGGCTCTCTGGGTGGTTAAAGTGTTGAGAATGTGTACTAATGCCCACAAAAAAGTCCCAAATTGCTCCATATCTCCTTAATAGTACATGCAGAGAAATCTCTTTGAAATGGTGTGGGTGTGCATATGCATGAGTAAAAAGATAAACAATACTGAAATGTTACATAAACTTTCAAAGAAAGTTAAGAGGCTGTACCATCTAGTGTTGTGCTCTGAAAGAGTTCCAGTAATTCCTAGTTACTTATTTAGTGGTGGTTCTCTTTTGGCCGAGCTTAGAAGTCATCTTTATTTCTCAAATGATAGTCAAGTTTCATAGGTTTGCTCTCTTAGCTTTTGTAAAATACCAAAGGGACGCCAAGTATTAGTATGTTGACTTAGCCAGCTTAAGACTGCAAATCCTGTGCACTCTTACCTGGAGTAAGTCCTGTTGCATACAAATGGACACCTTCTGAGTAAGCATGCATAGGAGTCTTTTAGAGTTCCAGCCTGGGACTTCTATCAAACCTGGGACTCTTTTTATCATTGGCTAGAGAAACGGGACTGTGCATAGACTTAAATATCTTTATAGTTTAACATAAAAAGAAAAAAGTGGGGGGGGGGGGCTGACCCAGTAGCTCTGATGTTTTCGATGATTGATGCTTTTTAGTTTCTTTTTGTTAGGTATATTAAGAAAAAAACTTATTCAAAAAAAAAAAAAGTTCCAGCCTGAGAATAGCTAGCTGCACTGACACCTCAGTTTTTTTCTGTAGAAGTCTGTCTGTAGGAAAAAATGCCAATGGTTTTGCAGTTTCCCTATAATACAAACATACAACTATATGGAATAACTCTCACACACAGGAAAACATAGGTGTGCCTAGAGACAAGTCACATAGGATGCATCCTAGAACTCTCACGGTGGGAAGACTATCTAAACCAGGTGATGCATGGCTATTGTAACATTACCCTGTTCACAGATAACATTGCAGAACAAGACATTTTTCTCAAGGCCAACTGCGGCATATCCAAGGATAGGAGTAAAATAGCAAAAATAATATATACATAAATAAAATGCAATTACTGAAAAGAGGAATGCAGACAATTGCCAAAAATGCCTCTAAAATGCCCAGTCCTAGATAAATTATTTTAGGACATATCAATAGAAGCTGCTTTTCTATGTATTTAAGATCAGCTGAGCCAAGGTATGGTGCATGTTGTCACAGATCCTCATCAACTGATATTGTGCAGCCAGAGCACAAGGCTCAATGCAACAGTTTCATCCAAATGCAAAACAGAAAATACAGCCAGACTCAGGAAACATTTATTAGGACAGTGCAAGTCAAGTGCAAAAGAACAGAGCCTTTTCTTTTCCTGTGGCCCCTGAGATAATTTGGCCTACAACTCCAGTCATAGCTCACCATTGCCTATCTTGGGCTAGGGCTGATGGGAATTGTGGCCAAAACATTTGGACAAGTTTGCATTGGTCACCCCTGCCCTAACAGCTCACCTTATTTGAAGAGACAAGTGTTTGTGTGCAAATGAAATGGTTGGCAGCATTTCATGCAACTATAGTTAAGATTTTGTACCTAGCAAAGAGGTACAGGGGATAAATGCTGCCTCCTGATGCTTCTTCATAAAACTCCCTCATGCCAGATTTAGGGTGCGATCCAATGCCCCAGGCCTGGGTGCAGATAAGCTTCTAAACTCAGACTTACTTGCAGCCCATGGCAAGAGTGAGGAGCAGCAGCAGCGACCTCCAAGCACCACTGCGCCTCACCTGACCTGTGTGTTTTATCTAGACCTAGATAAATGGGGAGGGGAGGGGAGGGTGGGAAGGAACACCAATAGGACTCGCCATAGAGAGATGGCCCGGCACCCTCCCCAGCATGTCTCTCTTCCCCCTTCTGAGGCACATTTTGGGGACAGCATTAGAAATGTAGTAAATAAATGCAATAATTTCCATTCTTAAAATAAGCCCTAAACTAGCATGAATTAGAGTTCCAGCACAACCCTGGACTGAACGGCATTCCTTATTTTCTGGCATGCCGCTTACTTAGAGCGCAGACACCAGTTAAGCAGCAACAGAAAACCAAGTTGGGTTGGCCTGAGTAAGATTTCAGGTGTGTCAATTCACTTGTGTAGCTCAAGCCCACTTAGGACCCTCAACTCCCATCAGTCCTCGTCAACAGTAGGGTTAAAATAACTGGAAGGCCACACATTACCCACTGCAAGACATCCATGCAGCTCCAATGGTTCAGATGATTTGCATACAATTACTACCCAGCGGCTCTGTTCTTATGCCTACCACATTCCCTCTTACTAGTCGGGGACCCATGCACTGATCTCTGGCTGGCTATTTCCTTGCTGTACTTCCCTTCTCTCTCTACTAACATGAGGCCCCAGCTCCTGTTTGCAGTGGTTGGCAAATGTTAAGGATGGCATGCAAGACTCCTTCAGGCACACCCTCCCTCTGTAAACATCTAAGCCTTTGCATCATATTCCTCCACCCCAACTACTGTTTATGTTTAATTAATGAAGCAAAGCCCTGGGAAAGCTCACTAAAACAGCAGTACCCATTTCCTTCTACCTGCATTTTTATTCAACATCAGTTTCTACCGCCTCTTACTGGGACAGAAACAGCCTTAAATTTGATAAGACTTGGTACTTTATTGCAAGAAAGAAAGAGAGTACCCTGCATCCAATGATGCTAGTCTACAAGTACGAAACTTCTGCTCCTTGTAGAAACCCCTATTAATCCTTGTGCAAATAGTAAGTTCTGTTTGCACAAGCCATTGCACAAATGCTTTTACAACCTGCTACAGCTCTGTTGCTCTAACTATTGCTTGTGCTAAGTGCATTACATGGTCTGCTCACACTTATGTAACTAGTGCAGCACTACTTCTTGTACTTTTTCTGCTAGTGCTGGATTGCCTCAAGCCATTCTTTTTGCCTCGGTTGCATTTAATGGGCATTTCTTGAACGGTCACTTTCATGTACATAAAGCTTAAAACAAACATGCACCTGAGCCTGTCCACATTTATAGAAAGTAAGACCTGACTATAACCTGTGAGTCTCCTGGCATCTTACCTTCACAACTTTCCAGGACCCAAAACACCCCGTTGGTCTTCCTGGCCCCAGATTCAGTCACTACTGATCAGTATTTGTGCCTTTTTCAAGGCAACACCAGTTTTGCGAACTGAGAAATCCTGTACTACACCACAGAAGTAAAAGCCAAAATTTATTAAAATTATGTTTAACTTTACATTAAGATGACTAAGTGACTGAATATTTACAAATATCCGTAATGATCAGACAATGGTGATGCATGTAATTAACAACATATAAGGACAATTTCCCAATGAATGCTTGGAAGTTACCTCAACTAGTCCCACATTACATTCAACTCTGTCTGCTAATAATAATAATAATAATAATAATAATAATAATAATAATAACAACAACAACGATAATACTCTTCACCCTCAATTATCTGAAAACCATAGATAGATGAATGAAGAGGAATGAAGGAAATATCACCAGTTTGTTCCGGATGACACATGGAGTTGTATCAAAACAAAAGGCACATAATAAACATCTAAATATTGCCACTAAAAAGCTAAGGTGTGGGAGGGTGTTTTCTACAATTCATATGGAGTTGGCCATTTTGCTTTGACATTCCCTTGACGCAGGTTCCAGAAGGTGATTGAAAATCCCCTGAAACCAAGAGAAAGGAAGCTACAATTTCAGCCATATTTCTTCAGGCCTAATGGCAGAAGACATTGACTCCGCATCCATCTGCCAAATCCCTGACTTACATCACATATTTCCAAAATTAGACTTTTACATATATTGTATAATCTCTTATACATTTCCTCATGTGGGAATTTGCTCTCTTGCTTTATTTCTTTCCTATTTATTACAAATTGAAATACTTACCAAATGTTACACCTCTTATAGGGATATTTATGACTGCCAGATCAATATTGTATAAATATAACTGGCAAAATCTTATAAATATAATACTTTTAATGTCTTACATATTTTACAATTAGAGACATCCTTAGAAGTACCTTAAATTTTTATTTTCTCATAGAACTGATATACTAAAATAATTGGAATTTCTCAAAATAAGTCCAGTTACATGAAGGAAGGCCACAAGTGGCAACACATCTACCCAAGGAACAATGGGAAAGAGGTAGAAAATTCAGAAATAGAGTTAATGCTCCCATTCAAATACTCTTAAAGGATTAGATGATGCTTTTGCCTTAGAATGCTTTCCACTGTGAATTGTTCTTTTGGTGCTTTCTAATAACTGAGACAGACCCCTTAAATCCTCTTTAAGGGTTTGTTCTCCATTGTTAACCTGGCTCTGCAAAGCAGTATTTTCCCCAAATATCTTCCCTTGGAAAGACTATGGGACTGAGGGGCAAAATAAAACAGCCCCTTGCTTCCAGCACAGCTTCTGTCCTACATTCTTCCATTGCAAACCGTGATCTATTACATCTACCTCAACAGATATTATGGGAAGAGAACATTCCACCACAATGAGGTGACAAAAATAATTTTAATCTCTCACCTGATGAAGTGAGCAAGAAGAGGACCTTACAAGCTTGGATAGACTGTACTATTAATCTTAGAAATTGGGCTCAAAAGCACTTTTTCTAAACACCCTAGAAAAAATGCTTCTCCCTTTCCTTTTATTACACCTGCTTCATATCTTCTGCAGTTTTCTATTAAGCTTGCCAAACAGTCAAGTAATGACTCCTATGTAACAAATTTACACAAGCAAGCAGTATTGCGTTTATCATCACAAAATTTTGTTACAAAATGTTGCTAAGCCTTTCATAATGAGCTGAAGGATTCTATGTGAACTTTAGGGAGATGGATCAGTTTGTGCATGTTCGACAATGTGTAATCAATTTAAAATACTGATATTACATATTGCACACTGTTCTGTCTGTCTTATCCAAGTAGGAATGGAAAGTCTGCCATATTTTACTCCGCACAGATGAGTGAGATCTGCTAATGTAGCCAAAGCATTCAAGTAATGTCTCTTAGGTGGCCAAAAGGTGCACTATGCATATAGTATTATATCAGCATGTAGGATAACTGGTGAAGGTGGATAATTTGGGAGCTCTGGATAGCTGAACTTCAGAAAATAGATGTTCAGTATGCACAGCAAATGTGCCGTTTTAACCATTGTGACATTCACTGTTGCAGTTCCAGATTGTTGCGCAGAAATTGTGCCCCATTTAAGTCTCAGTGGTTACAGTTGATTACAGGTGGTGGGTACAGGATGAAGAGAGAAGAAAATGTCTTACTGTGAATTCCTTTTCTCCACGGAAAAGCATGCTAGATTCTTCATGTTAGCACTTGAGGCCCAGTCAGGTCTTGCATTAAATCCTGCATGGTACTTGAAGGACAGGTGTACTTTTGATGGGAAAACAATATGAATATGGCAGAAAGGACTGAAAAGAACTTCCTTTGTACTGTGGTTACTATCTGAATCACTGCATTCTCCTGAAGCTGCTATTAAAACTTGGGGGGGGGGACCCTGCCAAATATCATAGGGAGGTGTCTTATACCCAATTGAAGCACTGTTTCACATATGGCAGCAGTTCATTGGGGTTTCAGATGGGAGTTTTTCCCAGCTGTGCATGGGAAAGCAAGGAGAAGAACCTGAGGCATTTTGCATGTTACACTGGTGCCTTGCTGGACAGCCTTTCCCATACACATGGATCTCCTGGCTCTCTTTTAATTTGGCCCTTAAGGGTGCAGTCCTACAGGGATGCCCGTAATCTTCTCAACCCAAAGAATTATGAGCATTGTATGCTAGGCAGAAGGAGCGTGGAGATGAATGCTGACAGTTTTAGCTAACTGTGGTGCTTTGGAGGAGGAAGAAAGGAGACCAAAGAGCTGCCGGAATAGGTCATATCTTCACAGCAATGGTCTCCTCCCCTCCCTACTCCCCAGAACATCCCCTAAACCCTTTCCCAGCTGGCATAGTTCTTTCCATGCCAACTGCAGTGGAGAGGAGGGTACTCCAAGTGCAAAGTCCCAGGAGCAAACCTCCCCCAACACACATACACACTATATAATAGCAGTGTTGATATTTTACAACTTTTTACAGATATATGTGTTTCTACGGAGAATATAATCACAAAAGGTTTAAAAAGTCACTTTTTGTTGTTGGATGCTTATGTCAAAAATGATTGCTTCTTCGGATCTCACTTGTGAAAGAAAAAAAAATCTTACTCCTGCATGCTAATTCTACTACAGTATAATGAGTAATCCCTTATACATGGAAAGTGGCAAACAGGGGAGTCATGCACACAGCATAAATGTTGATGTACCAAATTCTGATTCTTTTCTTTTAGCTATTTGGGACTATGTTAGACCAGACAACCCACATCTGGGACTCCAATTAGTTTTATCAGAATGTCTACATATTATCTGTCATCATGCGGAATCATCTTATCATATTCAATCCCATATATTCCAGGTTAATATTTTTAACAGTTTGGTTGTTCTTTACTTATGATTAATAAAATCCTTGTCAGGTGCAGAAAATGGACTTGTCCTTCATCAGGAGAACTTGCTTGCTGCATGCCAATCCCGTCCAATTGTCCGTTTAGCAGATGAATGGTCAGCAACTCAGTGATGCTGAGTTCATATAAAATCTGAAGTAAACAGTTCTTGGGTCAGCTTTGGAACTAAATGGAAGTCTCCCATAGCTGTAAGAGGAGAAAGGTAAGATAACCTGTCACTGGAATTGTTGCACCTCTGGGATGACACGTGATACTGCTGTGATAGCAAATTTTCTGGGTAAAAATCTAATTACCAGTGCGGTCCAATAGGCAGAGATCCAAGTTCAAATGGTACCCCAACCATGAACCTACTGGCTTGGATACATAGGTAGGTACATCATACAACTGGGCTGGCAGAAGCATAATTCGCCACACACTCTTCCCCATGGCAGCCCCTCCCAGTCCCCAAAACTGCTACACATTCTACTGAGTGGGTAGGCTACAGTGCAGGGAAAGGTAAAGGCATCCATGAGTGGAGCTCCATTCATGGAAGGTGCCTCTTTGGAAGGATCCATTCAGCTGGGGAGGAGGGGGGAAGTGCGCAACAGTTCCAGGATCCTCCAGTGAGGAGCAGACAGTATGGAAGTCTACTTGCGCCAGCTCCCTCGGGCACACCTAAAGTTGCTTCCCACCTATTGTGTGGCCAAAGGCCAACCAGCATTCCCTGAGTCCATATCTGCAGAAGACCCCATGACATCTGAAGAAAGAAGCCACGCTTACCCTGGCACCTGCTCTGCTGGCCTTTTTCTCCTCATCAGGAAGAGGAGGCATTGGGTAGGGGTATTTTCTGCTGGAGGCAATGGAGCCAGTAGATGATGATGGAGACTTTGCAGGAGAAAGAGTCCTGAGGTGGTGAAACAGACAAAATAAACAGACTATCTTGGGATACCAGCCTTTCAGCAGAGACTGCAACTATTCCACTTCCTTGAGAATTCCATTCAATTGCTCAGATGCATACAGCTGGAAGGAAAGCCAAGGCTTTCAGGGCCATTGCTTTGGGAACAGTTCACTAGGACAGTCTCCAAAATCATCTTGCTCATTTACACGGAGACTGGAGACGTCCCAGTGGACTGTGCTCTTTGCCAGCATTTAAGCAATAAACCCCCTTTACCATTGCATGCCTCCAATGACAGAAGGATTAAGCAGTAATTAGTTTATAGAAAGGAGAGCATGATTTACAACAACCCAGAGCTCATGTAATATAGTGGCTGAGAGGCTGAGCTGGAAATCAGCCCCTTGTCCAAATCTCACCCCTAGGTAAAGCCTAGGTAGCTTTAGATGCAATCCCACACACGTTTAGACAGGGGAAAAAAGTTCTACAACTCCCAGCATGGCCCAGACAACCATGCAGACTAAGGCGCACTGGATGTTGAACGCCTTTTTTCTTCTGTAAACAAGCATAGAATTGCACCCTAAGGCAGGTATTCACATAGTCACCCTCAGTGAAAAATGGGGAAATGCTACTAATCTACCTTGTAACCTTGTTCTACGGATTACTGAGGTAGTGCACAGGACGTGCTTTAAAAGGATTGTTCTCTAACTACGAATAACTCTGTAGGAATTTTGTCCGTGTACCAGTTCAGAAAGTGGTACCAGGGGAAAGTGCTTTAAACAGCTATGACATATGCAAGGACCACCTCTACTGATGCAGGCCCTGCTGACCCCTGTGCACCCCTGGCTCAAACTTCACTGCAATTTGTATGCATGCCTACTTGGAAATAAAACAGCACTGCATTAGCAGAGCTTAATCCTGAGGTGCATCACAGGGGTGGGCAGAAGGCAGATCTTCAGCACCCTCACACCCCTGCCAGCATGTGTCAAGAATGCTGGGACTTGAACTCCAAAACTTCTGGAGATCTATTCTCCACCCAGCCCTAGTATACAGGGCAGCAACCCACATTGCTTAAATTAATACAGCAGATCCATATTTTACAAGGCTGAGGCATGCAGTTTGGAGGCCCAAACAGTTTTTTATGAAGGAACAAAGGCAAAGACAAAGTGCTATCTTGTTAGACATGCAAGCGGCATCCAGTGCACATTGGTTCCAGCCAAAGTAAGAGTCTGATGGGGTGGAGAAGGGTAGACAAAAATGGACTGATTAGTCAAAACAATCAGCATTTCTGTACACGGTGAGTAAGGTAAGCAGTAGCAAGTCAATGTCTGCATCACATGGAAAGCATTCTTTGCTTGAGGTCAATGAAGCGTCTCCGCTTTATTGACTAGAATTTTACCCACAAGGACTAAACCAGCCTCAGATTCTAAACCTTTGCCGCTGGCCAAGCTGACTAGAAATGTCAAGAACCACAGTCTTACAGGTGTCATATAGGACACCAGCTTGGGGGAAGTTCTAAACCTGCCTTAGAATCAGAGGTAGGAAATCCCAGGTTGGATCCAGATTTAATCATACTTAGAGGAAACCTATTAAGATAAATCAGACCAAGTCATCACTAACTTAAGTCCTTTGGGTTTTATTGGGGCTACTCTAAGTGTTGGGCAAGCTGGACTCCAACTCCCCATATTTGGATCATTTGCAAGAAAACATCAAAGACGTACTCTAGCTGTCTGACAAGTATATCCATGGTGTACTTCCCAATTTACTTCATTCCATGATGTGTTATTGCTACGTGTGTTCTTGGTTGTGGTCTTAGTTTTCCATTTCAATATACAATTCTAGGGTGGAAACGCATGAGCTAGAAACCCAGCTGGTCCCATACATTTTGGTTTCCTAATGAAATACTACAATTAAACACTCTACCAAACCCCTCTCACAAACAATGCCTGGCCTTCTGGACTGCTAAAGCTAGATAAGGATTCCCTTTATTTTTAAACTCCCTAATTCAGATGGCTGTGCTGCCTACCTGGGTTCCTTGCTCTCCTTCCTCTCCATGCACATCAGATCCAGCTTCCAGACTTTCCATCAAAGAGCATGCCTGCCTCCATTGGCACTTCTTTTCCTGTCTCCATGTTTATATGGTGAACTGAGTGTGGCGTCCCAGTGGCTGCTCATTAGAACTGTTTTTTGCCACTATATAATGTAACCATGCACTGCTTCCTAACCTTTTCATAATCCACCCAGGAAGCATTTGTTATTGGGTGGAAGATGGCCCCCAAAACGCATGGCCAGCAACCACAGAGCACTGGAGCATATTCATGAGTACAATTTTAAAAGTGAGCTGGAATTTGGAATTATTTCCATCTGCACCAGTTGCAGAATAAACTGCCATATGTCCAAATGGAGACCATTCTTGGATTATGGAAGCAGACCAGGCAAAGTACTGAGGTGGTAGAATCCTGATTGTTACCTCTTTGGACTGCAAATAGAATGGTTAAGTTCCCTTACTGGGGGAGAAGAAGCAAGGAGAAGCTCCCTGCATACACTACATTTGCCAGGGAAAAGACAGCACTAAACATTTTTCTTTGATATGCTAGGAATGATATGTAGTAGAAACACTTTTCCTTGATATAAAGGGGGATTTCTATGGAGGAACATTCACAGGTATTGCATGGAGTTCATGGCTGTCCAGTCCATAGTCCTGATGTCTCAGCCTGTTCCCTCCACCCAGAGCAGCGAAGCACCTATTTATCTTCATAGGTCTGACACACAGTCCCTATGACTTTTGAAATTTCTGGCTGAAAAATCCCCATGAATAGGACATGTATCCAATAAAGGTGATTCTATTCTATTTCAAACCAATCACATTCTATTGTAACTCAAACCTATCAAAGCAGCAGCCTTTGCATGGTAGGTGAGGATGGGGGTTGTAGGACTTTTCTCTAAATATATAGAGAAATACACCTTAATCAGGCTAACCATGCTCAGTTTCCACAAATCCTTTATTACTGATTATAGCCAATTCCTCCTCACATTTTCCAAAAATAACTTTGAAATATAAGATTTAAACACTTTTTTCACTTAAAAGTTTTGATCATTGCTAAGTGGATGATGGCTTCCTTAAGATGGGCTTACAGGGCAAGTATGTTTGACGTTTGCATGTTTTGGCAAACTCCAAACATAACTAACTTTTCATCAAAGATATGAGATTGCAAATTTTATACCTGAGATTTACTTCCAAGTGTGCATGTTTGGCACGACACGTTTATGTTGCAATCCCATGTATACTCACCTTGGAGTAAGCCTCATTGAACAGAGTGGGACTTACTTCAGAGTAAACATGCATAGGATTGAACTGGTCGTCAGTTCAATACAACCCATCTTGTCTGGATCACCTTCCTCAATTCTGTTCACAGACCCCACCACTGGGATGCAAGTCTGGCCCTGCAAGGCGAAAAAACTTACCCTGGGGTCCAGGATGAGGGGGCAGGAAGAAACACTGGGGAGGAACAGACCCAGCAGAGCAGTCCTCTTTCCGCTATCTTTCTAAACCAAGCAAGACACTGGCAACTGCTGTTGTGGGGTCTCCTGGACCCTGGCAGAAAAGCATGTAGGGAAAGGAGGAGGAGACCCCACTGGGCCCCTTGTGCTAGCCTCCAAGGGGTCCAGGAGAGGTGGTGGTGCAAGAGGAAATCCGTGCTTCAATGTTGCTTAAACAGTTACCCATTCTGGGCACAGAATGTGCAGCTGGAACACTTTAACTCTCTCCCTCTCATTCTGACATGCAAAACTTACAAAATGTTTTCAAAATGAAGTGACAGGAGTCAAACTGAAAGAAATTTGTTTCTGTCTTATTTACCAAGTGCCACGATATGTGCACAGCAGACCTATTATTATCCTATTTTATTTCATTTCATTTTTCGCATACAGCTAAATCTGGAGCAAAAAGGTCTTAAATCTCAATGTAGAACTTCCCAAGAGAAGGAAATTAAACCTAAGGGGCCCAACAGAGCTTCATAATCTAAACAGACACCCTACCAAGTGCTTTCCTGGTGCTCTGGAAGGTGGGGAGGTGATTCTACCCTTGTGAGTCATGTTTCCAGCACAAATCCCATCCTACCATTTGGCAGGAGGTTTGCCATCTAATAACTAACCCATTTTTCTAATGCCATTGAAGATGGACTTTTGTTTTTTTCCTCCTCTGCCTGCCATTTTTCCTGCAAGGAACTCAAGGTGGCTTACACAATATAAATGTGATATTGTCATGGTCATCATTGTCATCATCACCACCACCTTCGTTTTTATCATCACGACAACTCTATAAGGTAAATTAGGCTGAGAATCCGTGACTGGCTCAAAGTCACCCAGAGAACATCATGGCCAAGTGGGGACTTGAACCTGAATCTCCTGAGTCCCAGCCCAACACTCTAACTACCATGTCACAATAGGCTATTATATCATCCCTCTTTGCAATATTCTTTCATCCTAGTGCCAGCTTTCTGCTAATCATCCCTTGACCAGACCCTCCCCTATTACAAGATACATTGCAGCCAATTATTCAAAAACTCACTGGATGTTCTGACCTATTTCCATAAGAATAAATGAAAATGTTTCTTATTTCAAGTACAGAAAGTCACCTTCAGGAAGCATTTGAAAATCCAAACATGCTCATGGATGTTTTGCTGTTTATGAAATCAAGGTATTTTAAGAGAGAGGGGAAAAACAATGCCAAGCACCAAGACAAGTACACAAACAGATGAACCAGGGTCCCTTGCTTTCTTCCTTGGTGCAGTGATGATGCGATCTACTCTGTGCTGCACTTAATCAGATAACATGAAGACAAAGCAACAACCTAGGAGTTCAATTCTTTCTCACATGATGGGCACAGCTGTTAAGAAGGAAACAGTCTAATATTTTAAAATGAGATTCTTTTTATGAAGTGCTACCTTCTGGATTTGGAGAGCTCTTAGACAAGATACCTCCCCTGCACAAGATACACTTCACTGAGTCTA